ATCGTTCCCCATTCCAGACGGCATGTCATTACTGTTTGTATTGTACCGACGTCCTACGAGCGCGCTCGCCAAACAAGGCCATTTGAGGACCAGCTATTTAATCGACATAATTTCGTGTATGAGACTAGACAAATATCCCGGAAGTGCAGTCAACTTGATGAATAATGTTTTCACATCCGATATGAACCTTTTTTTGGCCATTTTTTTCTCTCATGGGAAGTCTTAAAGATGTAGTTTTCATCCTGTATATATGATGCATTGAGGTTATGCAACAGGAAGTTGTGTCGCTCTGTATGTAATGATGGGAATGTTATCATTTTGCTGTGAGTTCATTCAGCTACAGTTGAACGTAACGTGTCCTTATCACACGGATTTGAAAGAGATGACATCATATGAGGTGGTTTGCATGCCAGACAATGTCCTATACAAGTAGACTCATGGCTGACCATCACGCACAGTCATAGTATCCATATAGGCACATAAAGGTTTTCTGTTAGCTTGTTTTAACATGTGTTTTGTCCGATAAAACTTCTATAAAGGCTTTTGCAGCAATATGTTGCAAATGTCTGTTGTCTGATATTTGTTTGTTGTTTGACGCCACACTCAGCAACATTCCAGCTATATGACGGCTGTCTGTAAAAAAGCGAGTCTGGACCAGACAATCCAGTGATTGGCATCATGAGCATCGGTCCACGCAGTTGGGACCGATGACATGCATCAACCAGGTCAGCGAGCCTGACTACCCGATCCCGGTAGCCGCCTTTTACGACAAGCACAGTCGTCTTTTACGGCAAGCATAGGTTGATGAAGACCAATTCTACCCCGGATCTTCACGGGTCCTACGTAAAGATGACAAAGCAAGTCATCATCATGTTTTCGTTGTCTGAAAGGAATCATTCTAAAAAACACAAAGGGTTAAATTTGCTAAAAATCTTGCAATTTCGGAAAATAACCCAATTATGTTAAAACGTTTGATTTTTCAACTTTGTACACCTCTATCCAACTCGAAAAACCTTATTCCTTGATCACTAGACGTGGTGACCATAGATATAGCTAAACCTGTTTTGATGATTTCTTAAAAAAGAAAGTAACGTTAATGCCATATGAACTTCACTGAGAAAATGACATGTGAAATACTGGACTTCCTCATAAAATCCATGTGAAATTTAGGGACAAGACATTTAGACAAGAAATTGGCAAACCCCATTGGCACCAACAGTGCTGATCTGTTTCTTTATGCATCAGTCCGAACTTTTGCTGGGATTGGCAAAAATGAGGCCAAGAAGTTTTAAATTAAGCTTCAGGTATATCGGTTATATCGTTCTATAAAGGTCAAGCAGGATATTCTCACCTCTCCGCGAACACATGTATCTTCACCATTTGATAGTTACTCATAAACACATGTTTATGATATAGTCGGAATCATACAATGGATTTCTTATGATTATAGAACGTGTGCTCTTATGTATATAGAATGCGATTTATCTATCAACTGAACAGCATGATTCTTCGTCCGTGCACCGATGCCACCAATGAGCCGAGAACCCGTGAAGATCCGGGATAGAATTGGTCTTCAGCAACCCATGCTTGCCGTAAAAGGTGATGATGATTGTCGTAAGAGGCGACTAACGGGATCGGGTGGTCAGGCTCGCTGACCTGGTTGATGCATGTCATCGATCCCAATTGCGTGGATCGATGCTCCTGATGTCAATCACTGGATTGTCTGGTCCAGACTCGATTATTTTCAGACCGCCGTCATGTAGCTGGAATATTGCTGAGTGCGGCGTTAAACAACAAAGCAACCAACCAACCAACCAACCGAAGGACTAAACAATCAAGAAATCTTTTATTGTATTCACGGTATGAACTGGAAACCGAGGACCATGACACCAGACGTGTCCACCAACAGCAACAGCTACATCACCGCGGGGAACACCCGTGATGGGCTTCATGGAAGACACACACGAACGACTCTGAACTCGGGTGTTGAACCAAGCGATTAACCTTTGCGCCACCACTACAAATGTACAAGAACAATTTGAAACATATACTGTTTATGGTATTAATTTCTAAAACCTTTTTTTTTTTAAATTTAAGAAACGTTCCTTTCATCAATAGACCTGCTTACATATCATAGCACTGAAAGTTTCTTGTTTTCATCACATTATTTGAGATATAATTTTTTTTGGCGTCAGGCAAGAAACATACTATTTTGTGCTGATTGTGTGAGAAGTGGGGTGCTACCTGTAGGGCAGACTTGACGTTTTATTTTTCATTGCTGTGCTCATGTCACGTGTATTTGGTCACTTCTTGTACATACGACCACCCAGTGTTATGGGGACTCCATGTTACAACACAGTAGGTGCGGTACTATGTATCGTGCATCCACCTCGTGTCGGACCTGTGTCAGCGTAACCAGTGTATCAATACACCCCACGTTATGTTGGAGTTGTGTCAACGTAACCAGATTATCAATCTATTTTCACTGAAGAAGTTTATATTGACCATGCGCCTGTTTCGTGCCAGACTTACCTGGCGTGCCGCCTCGTGTTGCGATCAAACAGAGGCCACTCCTCTGTCAGTATCAGACTCAGAGCTACACATTCTACACATGTTGACTCCACGAGATGTCCCCCTACTCCCCCCCCCCCCCCCCCCCCGACAAACTCCACTTACACACGTCCCCTCGACTTACACACATACGCTCCCTACAGAAGACACACGTAATGGCTCCATTTATCCATTTAACAAAGGGCAGGGTTGTCGACGTTGATTCCCCCCTCCCGCGTCGCTGTGTATTTGTAATATTTTTATGTTTTGGTGTGGACATTGGATAAGTTTGTGTGTTCATTTTACCAGAGTTCATGTTTTAGATCACGTGTGTTTTATTTTAGAGTCATAATCGTGTTGGTAAAGGCTGGATGTTACAGTCGTAAATGGATTATATTTAATGTAAGTTATGTAAGACGTATTTGATTGGATCAAAACATGCAACACAGCGGATGTTATATCTTAGTTTGCTGTATACGAGAGTACGGTATTTTGTTCAATCTTGTTTTTAGATGTAACTGTGACAATTGTGTATTGTGACGTCTCAGACAGCAGATCAGCTGCACATACACCCTCCTTGCGTGTTTGAGGGAGATGAATTTCAAGGTGATTACCGAGACACCAAAAGACTTCATGAGGCTCAAGTATTTATAATCAAGCCATTCGCGTTCCTTTCGATGTAAAATGTCTGCAAGAAGATAGAGACAGTCGAGAAACAACAAAACAAAGAACAATATCCTATCCACGTGTCACGGTTTGCACATTAGGTGGTACGGTAAAAATCATTATCCAAATATACAATTCAAGCGACATCTTACCAGACCCAACACGTTTTAATGCCCAAAAGTTAAATAACACAATATAATGTTGAATGGTTATCAAGCACTATATACATAATAAAATTATCGTACAACAGTTATTAAAGACCAAATACATAATATGCAGTTTCGATTAATTGTAACATACCTATTTTATCACGTAAACATATCTTAAATATGTCGATATCTTAAATGTAAAAGTTTAACCTCACTTACATAAAAATATTACATGTCACTGCCGGTGAGGCCTTTGGCAACCATTATATGTGGTAGGAGTATGTATGTACTCCATGTATCGAGGGGGTACGTTGACTATAACCACGTCTGACCACCCAATCCAATGTGTCGCTTCTTGAGACAAGAGGCTGCTGGGCAGTTGCTCCAACCTGGAATTCCCCCGGGGTGATGAAATTCTAAAAAAGGCAGAATTGCTGGGAATGTTTCTGTGGCCACCGAGCTGTTTATATAAAATAGAACCAATATCGTGTAGTCAAATGTTTATTGCTGTATGTATACTACCATTAAAAATGTTGACCAGACTTTGGAAATCTGTTGAAAGAAATATAACATGTCATCAGTTAAAATGTTTACATTCACATTCCCGTCTTCAAAAATATCTTTTCGACATAAGTCGTGTTTCAATAAAACTACAATAAATTCCCCTATTGGAAAACCTATTTTGGCTGATACACACACAAACATATATCATGTCCTGTTCAAACGCCTTGTGAATAATATCTGTGTCTATGTAAAGTATGAAACTATCCGAAAATCCGCTGGCTTACCGTGATTTAAATTTTAAAAAAAGGTATCAAAAGCACCCGCACTTTAGCGCTGATCGCTTGGCAGTAATGTGTTATGTGTACAATTTCTTTCCACCAAAGCAAACAGCGCATATTCTGGAAGGCCGATCATTAACCTTCAATTAAGGCTTGCAAACATCACAGCAAAACAGCTGCCAACGAGCGGCCGGTGCTCAAGGTTCCCATACGTATGGTCTTAAGACACAATGGACGGGGGCTGGACTGGACACTGTTTATTCTGCTTTTCTCACTGTATTGTTTATTGGAGGAGACCACTTCCTCAAAGTGAGGACCTAAAAGTCAAGATCAGGCAAATTTATATCTCTAATGAAGAAACAACACCAGTAATCGGAATATTTATTCTTTTGGGCGTTCATTCCTCAATCATCCGTTGATCGCCAATATCCTATTTTAATGCTGGTGTCCAATGTTGATGATGAGATTTTCTTCTTACACATCAAGACAATGGGGCTCCTTTACGGCCGTCTTCGGTGTATATTTGTACATGCGAGAATTGTCAACTTGGCGAGCACCTGCCGATGGGAGGTATTTGCCGTCTTCAAGCTGCTAGGCAAATTCTCCGATAGACTATGGGAGTGGCTTGTGGTTGGAGAGGATCTCAGATGACACTGTTATTGTTTTAATGTATTGGCGAAGACTCCCGGCATGCATCATTCAGTGCTTGTCGTCCCTATAGCATGGCCCCAAGACCCTTCTGATCACAGCATCCGGGTCACGTGGGTCTAAAGGGTTTGCGGTGTGACGTCACGCAAACAAGCCGCCGTATAAAGTAGCACTGGTGTTTTGATGTGCACATTCATAAGAGATCCCCTTCGCGCAGTGTGTATAAAATCCCTTAACACCTCCACAGCATACTGAACCAGGTTACTGGAGAACTCTCACATCAAGAATTCAAGGCGTGGTGATCTTGCCTTCTCAGGACATACTTTAAGGACATAAGCCCTAGGCTGCCGAAGTCTCGGGACGTTTTCGAGAATAACGCAGCGGATTATCTGGACAACTGACCACGGGTCTTGCTTCTCTGACGACGTTAGAATTGTCAGTGGTCCTTCCATACCTCAGTTTGACAGCGTCATGGACGTCATCTTTGTGGTCCTCGTTCTAATGACGACTGTTCTTCCTACAACAGGTAAGTGTACTGCCAATGTGTTCAGTATATGGTAACTGGGTCATTTTGTTTTAAACTTATAACCATGTTCAACGAAGTAGACATTACGTGTGCATTTAAATGTTCTGTAAAGAGTGAAACCTATCCAGTGAATTTGTAGTTCAACTGTATGTTTATTACCGGAAAATGTAGGTATTAATTACAAAGTGAGTAGAAGACTAGAAGTCACCCTTCGAATCGGTCATATCTGAAACTGGATATTTGATTTACTTTGATCTGATATAAGAACAGAGAGGAAAACCACCAGTCGTGTATATCATACTTTCATCGTGATCAATTCTTATGACATTGTCAGAAAGACAACCCATTTCAAAATTTACATACGACTCCAAATCAACCGACTTGGGAAATGATCTCCTAAATTTATTATTAACAAAAAATCAAATCAAGCGCTGGTTTACCAAAGCATAAACACCAAAAACATGAAATGGATACAAAACGCATGTCGGTTTTAAAAAGCCGTCCGCCGCCAAAAAGTGATCTGTTCTCGAAGACATATAATTCAACCAGAATCAAAAGAGCAAAGGTAGCATATTTCTAACCCAAATAAAGTATTACATTTCTAGTTAGGCGATATCCAAAATGTGAGATGTGAGTATTTATCAATGGCAGCAAGTTGTAATATTCAAAATATTCTGTTATCTTTAATCTGAACCGGCTTGTGGACACAGTGTGTCATCGCTGACAATTGACAATGATTCGTGTGTGGAGGTGTTTGGAATTTCTCTTCCTTTTTTCGTTCCACTTCTTGTGACCGATCTTCGACGTTCATATTATCTCCCAGTATGACTGCTCTGGGATGAGCAATGTAACGTACACACTGATTCTGCTTATTCATAAAACACATGATGAATATGATTGAGATGCAGACAGAGAGAGTCATTTGTACATGGAGATAGGTCCTGCATTAGTGTTGACACAATTCCTATTTCAACAGTCGTTAAGACAAGACTGTAATCTTACTGTTGCAACATTCATATACACTGTACACGGGTATAGTGAACACATATCCAGATACATGTATACACACCTGAACAAAAGGTAAGCACCGGTTACAGCATATTTCTAAACAGAAAAGGGGCGGTCGGGTAGCCTATTGGTTAAAGCGTTCGCTCGTCACGCCGAAGACCCGGGTTCGATTCCCGACATGGGTACAATGTGTGAAGCCCATTTCTGGTGTCCCCCGCCGCGATATTGCTGGAATATTGCTAAAAACGGCGTAAAACCATACTCACTCACTCACTCTAAACAGAAAAGTCATTGTTATCAATCGTATCGTGTGTATTACATTTCCGACGATAAGATTTTGTTTGAAAAATAACACGCTCATTGAATGACAGAAATTGAAATCGACTAATTAATGAAATGGTGTTTATCTGTTATACTAATAGTGATTGTTAATAGTTATTTGACTGTTCTTTCAATTGCTCCGCTGCTTCCTTGCATCATAGGAGGCACGGGTGGCCCAGTTGTCTAAGGCGCCGCGATTCGCTGTGCAGAGTTGCGTCCCTTGTGCACGCCAGAAACCTATGATTGTGGGTTCGAATCCCGGTTCGCCCCGATTATGTTTGTAGGTTTGTCAGCACCATACCCGTGCTCGTGGGTTTCACCGAAGTGGTAAACGTCTGAGACCTACATCACTGACACGCCGTGATATAACTGGAATAATGTTAAAAGCTCATTCACTCCTTGCATCACATGACATGACCCGGTACTTGCGGCCATCTGGAGAAACACACGGTGTTCGTGTATCCGTGGTGTCAATGTTACATATACATCTTTCCGATAGGTACGAGGAACGAGGATATATCAAAATAAAAAAATGGATTGGTGCTTCATTTCTTCGGGGTTATAAATGAATCATGTGGCAAATAAAGAACAATTCCCGCGATATTACTTTTATCTGTTGACTGGACCGGTGCCTTAGATCAGTGTGTCGATATCATTCAAATAGTGTAAAAGTTTGACAATGACAATATTATACAGTATTTAAACTCGACACGTACTCTGTGTTATGTGGTAAATGATAGAGATTTCTACATAAGACTGTATGACAAGAGGGATGACTTCAACTTTCCAATAGTCAACTTTCCCTTCATGCCGAGCACTATTCCTGCAGTTCCAGTCCTTGGTGTCTACATCTCACATCTTTTGAGATACAATCGAGCATGCCCTTCTACCAAGATGTCAAAGAGCGTCATACGACTAGCTGCTCAGAAGTTATTTGGTCAAGGTTACAACTACCAAGGCCTCAGTAAAGCTTTCATAAAGCTTTATGGTAGACAGGTGGAGGACATTTCCACATTTGACGCATCAGTGACAAACATGATGCAATTCCGCTTTTTAACTTATACCATATGTTTCCGTGTTTGATCACGTGAACAGATGACTTGCCTTTGGATGTGTTTGTGACGGGTGCCACCGGTGGGGTAAGGTACGCTCACCTTTTCGCGGGGCGGTCGGGTAGCCTAGTTGTTAAAGCGTTCGCTCGTCACGCCGAAGACCCGAGTTCGATTCCCGACATGGGTACAATGTGTGAAGCCCATTTCTGGTGTCCCCCGCCGTGTTATAGCTGTAATATTGCTAAAAGCGGCGTAAAACCATACTCACTCACTCACTCACCTTTTCGCGAATACCTTGAATCATCACTATTTTATAGCGATTAATAAACACATGCTTGTGATATAGTCGGTATCGTACAATGCACTCTGCTTTTAGCAGAGATTTCCTATGAAAATGGAAAGGGTTTTGTCGCTTATATTTTCCATATATAGACCATTTAATACATGAAATATGTGTGTAAATACAAACGTAACAATACCTGATGTGATCTCAGAGCATCCCAATACGTCGCACATAGACCCGCGAAGATCCGGGGCAGGATAGGTCTTCAGCAACCTATGCTTGCCGTGGCGACTGAGACTAACATCTAGTCTCTGAAATGAACATATCGTACAGAAAAAAAAAACAGTTGAAAAAAAGGAGCCCAGAGACACTCTTCATTTTCATTCCTCATACTGCAGTAATCTAGATTTGACAAACATTATAGACTTGCATGGGCTGTATTTGATATATTTGTATCAGGGTCTGTAAGACAGACCAGTGGCGACTATGCTTGTCGTAAGAGGCGACTAACGGGATCAGGTGGTCAGGCTCGCTGACTTGGTTGATGCATATCCCAATTGTGTGGATCGATGCTCACGACGTCAGTCACTTGATTGCCTTGTCCAGACTCGATTATTTACAGACCGCCGTCACATAACTGAAATATTGCGGCGTGAAACACCAAACAAACAAAATAACAAAACGTCCCACACACCCCTGGATTCATCATTGCAATCCTTTTGTATCACACCTTATCTGCATATATGTGGCACAGTCACTGTCTTCATTCATTCAGTTTGTCAACATGTATAAAATAACTGAACATGTCTATGGTTTATTAACTGTTTTAGTTCAATTATTGTCTCCTCAACTCAAGTCACTTAACGTGTGAGATCAAACGAAATACATCTATCTATGTAACGAATTCATCTATGTAACGAATACATATATCAATGTAACAAACACATCTATTTAGTTTTCACACTGGATTAGTCTGACCCAAATCTTTTTGAAATATTTTGGAACAAATACAGGTTTGCGTGTACCGAGAAAGTAACAAGACAGTAACAATTTTACACGTTTAGCCGAAGCTTCCTTTCCTGTGCAACTGCTGACAATGAACTCAAAGCTCCAAGTAGGCCAAAATGTAATACTAGTGTATGGCATGTCAGATTAACTATAGTAAGATGAAAGAATCGGGGGGTCCCAGACTCTGTTTGAAATGGTATATGACACAATGACAATAACAAATCTAACAATCACATTTTATGATTGTTTAAAAATATTTTTTTAAACTAATACTTTCACCTTGATATGATTTTTGATGACACCACGAACCTACTGAATGAAGCCTTTCGCAAAACAAACCTATCTCCCTAAAATATTGCTATATATTTAAAAATAATAATGTATAATGTATCATAAATATTGTATTGAAATAGTGTAACATTTGACCCACTTGTCCATGTACAAAAGGTTTATCTCATGTAGTGTAGTCTTGGCTATGTGGCCTTTGATACCGAATAACTTCCTCCTATCTTCTTCTTCTTCTTCTCCTTCTTCTTCTTCTTCTCTCCCCATTGCAGTAAATATTTCTTCTTTTCATAGCTGACAACGCCTATGCCAAAATCAGATAATTTTCTGTTTCCTTTTCGTGCTTCCCTGCCAATGTGCCTAAATCACCGGCTTTCCATCTTAGAGATATTTATTGCTATAATTCATAATGCACACATTACACATATATATAGCATCTTCGTTGTTTATTCACCGATGACCTTCAGCCGGTTGTATTGGATTATGTTTACGTTTTCTAAACTTAGCCTTCACAAAGGCTTTGATCATGCCAAATTGGACAGGTTAAATAGTGATATGATCTTAAACCAAACACCGATTCCATCTTATTACAAATAAGGGACGGACCATATCAAATACAGAGATTTCATATCGATTGTGTCGGTGATTACTGTATCCAAGTTCCTTGTTTGATTCCCAAATTGTCTCCCCCTACCTCCGGCAGTGATCACACAATGTTTGCTTGTTGTCCGCTCCCCATCTTCTCGCAATACGCTACAAAACGTCTCCAAATGTGACTGCATTTTTCGATCAATTTACAAAGTAAACAACGAAACGTGGAAACTATTTGTATTTGTATTTACACTTCGTTGAGTTTGATTGTGCCAAGGTCTTCAATTGTGTATGCCTTATCAAACTATCTTAAAATGCAAACATAGAACATTCTTGATGATTTCAACACGCAAACGTTTTTATTTCATCTTCGATTTTCTACGGTTTAATCAGAGAGGTGAAGGCTGTGCTGCAACATCCGTTTCGCAGCCCGGGCTGCGCTGATACACATCCTCGTCATCATCATGTATGCGAGACATTACGCCGGCTATTGCACAAAGAGATTACTCATATCGAACGCAAACATAAATTTTAAGTGTACATTTTTTAGCTATCAAATTCTGGTGTGCTTCCCTCATTGTCCAATCCCAGCAGTGTCGGGGCGGTATTGGTGACGTCATAGCTACCTGTCATAGTTGTAGGATGGATTTTTTGTGTCAAATTTTGGCAGTGGATTTTTAGCGCGTTTTTGTTTTTATAAATATTTACCCCTGTGCTTCATCATTTGGTGTTAGAGTTTCGGCTTGTGTGATGAATGTCTTTAAGCAAACTAAGAACAAATAGGAAGGAAGTTTTAATCTGTACCGTGACGTTTGAGTGTAGGTTATGAGAGAATGTGTATTGTTTCCTCCGGAGGAACAAACTAGGATCAAGGCTTTTAACAAAACTAAACATTACACCGAAACGAAAAATTTGTTAATAGACATAGTGACGGATTTCAAATATATATAAATGGCTGAACATGTATGTATATATGCCTTTACACCGCAAGCATGTGACAATAAATGTATGGACACTGACTGAAAAAAGCATCTTCATCTGCCTCGGGTAATGGAATTACTCTCGGGTGGAGTCAGTACCTGGATTATGTATACCAATTACAATGACACTCAAACATGCTATAAACTTCACTGTTTCAAATTTAAAATAATATATCATATGTAAGTTTCTGAAGTGTTCTTTAACAACATTAAAATAGCAATGCAGCATTTAAGTCTACTTTGCTAGCTGGAGCTGGCGTATTTACCATAACGATTTCTATAATTAAAACACATCTGTGACGTCATTCTATTGTTTGAACGCTCCATTATTTTTCAGGAATGGAGAGTTGCTTGTCAACTGTACATTATCTTGAAGCAGCATTTGAATTTTTCAAATATTTTCAACTACAGAATATTTTGTCAAAGTGTAAAAGTAGGGATGAGTTTTAAGTAGGGGAATATCCTCGTAACTCTCCATTCCTTAAAAATAATGGGCCCCTGTTCCATTATTTTTAAGGAATGGAGAGTTACTCGGACATTCCCCTCTACGTAACGCCCCATGTGATATACAATATCATGAAGAACATTGCAATTAAAAAAAACCATTACCGGGGTTCTCTACCCCTAAATGTCTGCATTCCCGAACCAATAGCATTTGAAATAGAATGCCTTGTTTCTTATTGTGGAAAATTAAGTTGGCAGTATTATTTATTGTATTGATTATTCATCAGTGAAACATTATTCAGATTCTTAGTATATTCAATGTTGATATGATATACTGCTGGATTAGTGAAGAAATAAATAACACTGAACATCAAGCTCCAAGTCTTAAGAAGGCAAAACTTGAAAGAAAGGAACCGATTAAATAGCTATGTGTGCATGTATTTTCAATATCTTCTAAACACCAGCAAATACAAAACTTCATGCAGTGTGACAAATGCTACTTCAGAGAACCTCGGCTGTGACTGGGACGGCAGTTCATTCCATGTGGGTACACAACGGACCATTCTAGTTGTTTCGATTATATTAGTGCCGTGCACCTGTTCTACCAATGCGCATGCAAGACCCCGTAACATGCAGTCGTTGCCAATACGGTGAAGACTCAGCAATGGCCAATGTTGTCGACGGTATGATGCTAATTCGTTCATCTTATGCAAGATGAAAGGGTCAGAATTAGCCTGAAGAGGCTTCAACCATCCCGAAAGAAGTTGAAATCCTTATAAATCTCCCGTGTAATGTTCGTCCAACTGCTAAGTGCCACCAAATACATTTAGTTGCGTGCCTTGCCTGTCAAGGGGATGGAAGCACTTAGACCACATGTTCGACCAGATTGTTCCCCTGTGTGAAGCAGATCCTGCTAAACACAGTGTATACTTCAGGTATGACGTGAAACACTTTCAGAGGAATCATCCTACCAAATGTTAATATACTACAACCACTGGCAGGAATTCCGTACGTCATCATGATGACGTAACAAACAATTGTAACACTTGTCACAAACAATTGGGATTCCAGTGGAAATAAAAGAAAAAACCCAAAAGGCATGAATTCTTTTATCTTGATGGTAATAAATGGGTTCTTGCTCAGTTTGTGTGTTATGGACATTTTTGCTTGAATCAAGGATGAATGTTAACGTGCAGAGCTTCATTAACTGCAGGTATTGTATCCTGCCATGACCCAATCCTGCAATGAGGCACTGTGAGAAACTCGACCGAATTTAATGTCCGTGACACTATTGATACATCGACGTAATTACTTAACAATTTATTGTGTATGCCATTTGTTCATGTGAATGCATGTTAGAATGTTCACATATGTCTGTGACGGGCGCCACCGATGGGGCAGGATACGCTCACCTTTTCGCGAACACCTGGTATCATTACTATTTGATAGTGATTCATAAACATATGCTCATGATATAGTCGGAATCGTAAATCGCTTTATGCAGAGATTTCTATTGAATATGGAAAGGGTTTTGTCGCTTTATTTCTAAATGATCCAAATACCGTGTTTAAAGAATAATTGTGTTTGAGTACTTTATACAAACATTGGTTTGAGAATAAATCTTTGTGGTTCTCATGATTTTAACATTATGTTTCCCTACACGACTCACGTGTTGTACTGAGTCACTGACTCTAGATCTACACTTGACATAGCGTTGCCACGTTCCACGGCCAAGTACAACCCGCCTGTTCAAAGGTTCAAGTTCTCGTAATTTCTTGACACGACTTGCTAATTGTGTGAACAGACTGGCCACTGTCGACTTCACAATATTGTGCACTACAAAGCTAACAGGCCACGATGACTACATTGTAACGTTGTCGGACGGTCAACACTCTCTGCTTATCTGGTCGCTGACTTGCTGTGGGTAATTCTAAAACAAAGCCCCAAGTCATAGCATATTTACGGCGTCCCCTAGTAGGCACGTGGACAAACATGTCTGCCACGCCATGTTTGACGGAACTTACTACAAACGTAATGTCTCTTTCAGAATCAGCATGTGCGGTGAACTCCACGATCTTATCCTTCAACGAGGAGGTCCCGCCAGGTAAGATAATAAGGATTAGTGGGGTATTAATGGTTCCGAAATACACGTGGGTAGGACACTAACGTCATGAGTTCTACGTTAATGAGATGTTTGTTTTGCAGGATCAAGGTGTGTCTGCAATGTTTTGTTGTTGTAAGCGTGGTTCTGTCAACTGTTTATTTTGTGTGTTTTTTTGTAAATGTCAAGTCGGTATCAGGTAGACAATGAGATTTCATTTAAACCGACCTCTGTCATGTACACAACAATGACACGTGTAGGTATGGGCGAAAAAAAGGGTCTTTGAGTCAAACTGACCGAATTATTAATAAATATTATCAGAAATATATACAAATATATACAAATAAAAACTATGTTTTGTGTGTCATTTAGTGTTCACTGTTTCTTCTAAACAACATTCCCTGTATTCTGTTCTTGTAGTGTCTTCACCCACATAGCCTAGTTTTAACTTACACTCTTACGGGGGCGGTCGGGTAGCCTAGTGGTTAAAGCATTCGCTTGTCACGCCGAATACCGGGTTCGATTACCGACATGGGTACAATGGGTGAAGCCCATTTCTGGTGACCCCCCGCCGTGATATTGCTGGAATATTGCTAAAAGCGGCGTAAAAACATACTCACTCACTACACTGTTACACTTACACTTTAAACTATTAAAGTTCTTTCAAATATAATTCATTTGCGGTTCAACCCATTTTTTCAATAAGTTCTCATGAAAGCAAAATGGGATGTCAAGGTCAGTTTAACGACTGTTGATACGAAGGTGATCGTGTTATGGCAAATTACTCTTTCGATTCAATATCGCCGACTACAAAATACTTTACCGATTACCGCACGTGTTGTGTTGCATTAAATATCATGACAATATCTATACGATACTCTCACAACTGTTCATATTCATTAGTCTGTACTCAGGTTTATCATTTCACAATGTCTGTGTAACCTACCCGTGAAGATCCAGGTTAGAATAGGTCTTTAGCAACCCATGCTTGTCGTAAGAGGAGACTAACGGGATTGGGCCGTCAGGCTCGCTGACTTGGTTGATGCATGTCATAGTAAACCAATTGCGTGGATCGATGTTTGTGATGTCAATCACAGGATTATCTAGTCCGGATAATTTAAAGACCACTGACATAACTGAAATATTGCTGAGGGCGTCGCCAAACAACAAACAAACAAAATCTATGTTACCGTTGAATGCACATTACGAAATTCAAAATCTTAAATGCCCTTACTGAAAGTTTGTTCAGCACGACCCACGAATTTGCCAGTTCTCCCGTCAAACAACCTTTGTATTATCCAAACATGCAACTTCTTAAAACAATATTGAAATCAAAGCTCTCTCCTGAATCAGCGTTACCGCCCAGGTGTTGAATGTCCACACCACACACAACATCCCCGGACAAACTGACCACCAACGCTGCCCTAATTCATGCAATGTCAGCTGTTGACCACTTGACCATCTTTACACGAATCTCACTGTCCGGCTACTGATGCACGTCTTAGCTACGGCGCACCCACCCTCTCCTTCTTGCACACGCCCCAATGGTGTCTTAAGACCAGGCCAAGTTGGCCAAGTTGCACATGTGCATCCTGTACATTACGAATCTATTGGGCATGGGGTCGAGTCCCAGATTCGCCTTGATTGATTAATATTATGGGTCTGTGTTAAAGTCTGGAGGTTAGATCATCTTAAACCTGACCATGGTGTGTGTCTCTATTTGCTGCAGTCCTTCTGACGTGTTCCAGTCTGAGAAGGCGTACACGCGGGATAGTGGTTAAAGGGTTTGTCCAGCTTTGCATCATTTAGCTTTTAGGATCCGTTGAGTTTCAATCCCAGATTTGCCCCGATTAGGTTCCTGAGGCTGTCAAAACAAAACCCGTGGCCGAGGGTCCATAAAAGTAGTAGCTTTACAACATGCCTCACGCTAAGTTTACCAAATATTGCAGGATTCCTGGGCCAGGTAGTGCTGTAGCCAACCCAATCACTCTTTCATGCCTATCTGACGTTATCACAATGCGCACGTGAGGTGTACAGTTACCTGTGCTTAGCTTAACTGTTTGTTAATATAAACACTCGACGTATTATGTCAAGATACATATATCAATAGGGGCGGTCGGATAGCCTTGTGGTTAAAACGTTCGCTCGTCCCGCCGAAGACCCGGGTTCGATTCCCGACATGGGTACAATGTGTGAAGCCAATTTCTGGTGCCCTCCGCCGTGATATTGCTGGAATATTGCTAAAAGCGGCGTAAAACCATACTCACTCACTCACTCACTCACATATATCAATATATCATGCGAAATCCGATCAACACGTGTGCTACGGACTGCCATGCAGGAATTACGTGGCAGTTCTATTTGATCAGAACACAAGTGTCATTGATAGTCCTTCACTGTTGCATTTTTTCCCTAGGGACTATGATCATGCAGATTATCCGAGAGGATGGGGAGAAATGGGCGTTCCGGGAGGACGGACCGGAGGGGTACATCGGACTCAGCACCGACCCCCGGACGGTTATCTTTACGTTCCTCAAGTCCCCGGATTTAGAAGAAATCAACAATGGGACTTCGACGGTAGGACATTTGCAGAAAATCTGTTGTACGCTCTAGGAATATTATTTGACGATGTGATGGTTTGCAAGATTAAATTGTTTATTGTAAGGGATTAATCTCCCTATCACATGAATACTGAACATATATTCAGAAGGGAGTTGCAATATGTTCGTACTGCTTGGAACTCATCAAAGTTTTAGACCAATAAATGTAACCGAAAACCCGCATGTGCCATGTGTGCGTACCATATACTGCCACAGGCGTGCATTTCTCTACTTATAGTCATGTAATATGAATCCGTGACACACCACAGTGGTTATTTAACGTTCTCACATTATCATCATGTATTCACGATCCAGCAATTACTGTTTCAGTCATCCCGACGCAATTCTCTCCCTTTCACACTGGAGTGTATGTTCAAGGGCTGGAAGCATATCGTGAGTACATCATACATGTGCATGACGTCGTCAGAACGAAATATTAAAATAATAATTTTATTGTCTATGTTGTACCAAAATAATTGGTTTTGTTACAAAACCTTCACGAGACATTCTAGACAGGTGTATATTAATATTAACTTAACATCAGGTGAATATGTGAGTGAAATGTGGTACACGTCTAACCGAGCAGATAGGTGTCCATTAAATCATGTCTGGGGAAGCATGATTCCCGACTTCCAGACCGAAGATAGTCGGAGACTACCGTAATTAGCCGACGCACTAACATGATCACGTGTGTTTTGTCTATTCCCTCGGTCGTGTTCCATCCGACTATCTGCTGTTCCCTTGTATTGTATATCACAAATCAATTACTCTGTTAAAATTTCTTTACATGGATAAGGAGTACACTACATTCTTTCAGTTATAGAGAAATCGTTGTGTTTTTCATGAAACTGGTGGCATTTGTGCGCTCATCATTGAATTCCGAAGACTCGACTGTTTCTTTGTTCATGAGAGCAGAGACCATATAATAGATTATATGGTCTCTGATGAGAGGGTATGATTCGTAGTGCACAACTGTTGCAAGTCATTGATGGTTGCTAGACTTTGTGCTTGTGCGCTCAGTTTGTTATTAGGCCGTTTGTTTGTTATTGTTTCTCGTCACCGACAGAGCCTAAAATTGACCCGACCCTAAAATGTTCGACTTTTTGCATTTTAATGTGAGGCTACGAGGTTTCGAAGTCATGGTGTGTGTTGTGGTGCGTGTGTGGTGTGGTGTGGTGCGTGTGTGGTGTGGTGTGTGTGTAGTGTTTGTTTCTCTCTCTCTCTCTCTCTCTCTCTCCCTCTCTCACCCTCTGTGTGGGTGTGTTTACAGTCGTGAATTTATACTGGGGTTGTTAAGAAATAAGTTTTTTTAATATTTTTTTACCAACAAATCTTTCGTACAGAAGTGTTGATAACAATAGAACCAACAATCGTTTAAATGGCACAATGTTGATGAATGGTATATACGGAAACTGCATTACCCAACACGGAACATGATTGTGTTGAAATGAGTTTGTCCCACTAAGCATGTGCATATCCGCTGTGTCGGTCTTAATACACGGAATATTCGTACTGCGCTAAAGCTGTGTACAGTTTGATAGTTTATATTGGTGTGCTTATCTCAGCACACACACACACACACACACACACACACACACGTATAAGCACAGGGTCAGGGATGATTTGTAGCAGTCATTCTGTGAATCACTCATCACTCCTGTAATAGCCTGCTACACAAGTACTATTTTATATTCCCACAAGCTCGGCCATTCCTGTATAAACGGGAGACTATACTAATTTCAAGGCTGTGTCTTCATGTCGTAACACTTGCCATATGAAGCATTGCCTGTGTAATTAGGGTACTCTGTAACCTCTAGATTGAATTACAACAAAACAAACAACCAAGGTGGCGTCAGAATGACAACACAGCTTGCATGGACTGCCACAACTTCGTGCCCTACATCTGCACTAGCGGCGATGTAACACGTGGTGACATGTTTGCGTTTCATCCCGGTTCACATACTGCACCTGCTCGTCAGCAGCAGCATCAGGTTGATGATGATAGAGGACGCCAACAGTATGTTGACAAAGTACAGCCACGCAAATACACTCTTGTTTCTGACAATAGAATAAAACAATAGTAGGAGGGTCGAATTTCGATTCCTCAATCACACCATTCTAAAACCACAATTGTACCAAAACGTCCCTTTAAGGCTTTAAAACAAACAGTCTTTCCTGATTTGCAAAAACACTGAACACCTTGTTAGTCGTTTTAAAAGATATATGAAAAGGTGCAACTGCAAAAAAGGAAAGGACTGTCAAAATGGCGGAGGTGCAGTTGAATTTATCATGACACAAATAATACAAACCATATAATAGGGTCTGTAGTTGATAAGAAACAAGACATGTTTGTGTCGGATCATCATTAAGTTACTATGAAACTTTCGTCAGCATGTTCAACCGGAAGCGGACCGCCTCCGTGGTCTAGTGGTAGAGCGTCCGCCCGGAGAGCGGAAGGTCCGGGGTTCGATTCCCGACCGCGTCATACCAAAGACGTTAAAAGATGGTACTTGTTGTTACCCTGTTAGTGCAATAATCTAGGACGCGACGTTAAACCCCATTTCACCTCACCTCACCTCACCTCAACCGGAAGCTATGTGGGGTTGTTTACCACATACATGAATAAGAATATTGCGATAGCAATCCAACATAATTCCTTTATTGCTTAAAATCTCCCATACTTATACTGTTTTATTTGAGACTAACACCATGAGATAACCTTCAGTTTAAGCAAGAGATTGTCATCTTGGACATCAACGATAATGATCCGTACTTCAGAGGGGGCCCCTTCGTCACCGACATGAATGAGGTAAGTTTGCCAATCTCTTCCTCCTATCTCTTAACGTGTACTAGTGAACATACATGCCATATACATAATGAGGTCTCAACAAATACACATCATGACAACAGTAATTGGACATTTGGTCTCTTTCTCCAGATGACGTCCATTGGCAGCAGCGTATTCAACCTTAGAGGCAAAGCAGTCGACCCCGACATCACGGGGATGGTGTCAGCGTTTAAGATCTTGCCGTATTTTGATAGCAGGGTAAGGATAAGCCTATTCGTGGGGGTGATGAAAAAAATCATTCTCCAAATGCCTTGTATTAAACCATTAAATATTTTAAAGCTATCATTGTTCCAGAATGTCATAAATGTATTGTCAGCGTTCTCTGACCAAGGACCGCCTCCGTGGTCTAGTGGTAGAGCGTCCGGCCGGAGAGCGGAAGGTCCGGGGTTCGATCCCCGGCCGCGTCATACCAACAGACGTTAAAAGATGGTACTTGTTGTTACCCTGTCTGGCGCTCGGCATTAAGGGGTTAAAGCAAGGACTGGTCGGCTCGGAGTCAGTATACTGTGTCTGAGTGGGGTATTCATGTTAAACTGCGGCATGGTTACTCAGTGAGCTAGCACTATAAATCGGCATCAGTCCAGTCTAGTACACACACACACACACACACACACACACGTGCATGCACGTCGCTATATAAGTGCAATAATCTTGGACGCGACGTTAAACCCAATTTCATCTCTGACCAAGGCATTGACTTTTGACCATTGGATCATTGACTCATTTCTCGGAAACGTCGTAATATATCCCTGAATAACCCTGTGCTGGAATCAGTGCGATGAAGTCTTACCTAAATTTAAGACTCCTTTAGTTTATTAATGTCAGTACTATGGCTTGTGCGTGATTTTTTTTTCAAAATACATTCTCCCCATCAGGGCACAGTCAGCGCACTTAGCTTTCATTTTAGGCTTTGTAAATGACATGACTACTTCGCAACAAACCCTCTCTGTAACTGATTTCCTCTGCACCCAGGTTGACGGTAGCAAGTTCTTCACTATGTCTAAGTCTGGTCAGGAGGTCATCCTGCAGAGGAAGCTGGACTTCGACGTCATGGAGGACGCTGAGACCGCCTACTACATGCTCAACATCTCTGTCCAGGTCAGTGATGCATCCTCATCCAGGAACCGCGATTAAATAATGAGCAAATGTATTTTCGTGGTCATATTTTTAAGATATTTTTCATTACAGCGGCAATGCATGGTCTGATGGTTTTAATGTACTGCGTCAGGCAATAAATACTTTTTTTAATACAAATTGTATGAATGGCGGGTGCTACCTGTAGGGCAGGAAATGCTTACCCTTTTCGCGAACAACTGATGTCACTGATTTTCAGTGGTCCATTCATATAATTTCCACAGCTATTTTGCCCTTACGCCAAGTGGAATCTGCCTCGGCAGAAAATCTAGGCTGGTTATCCTCTTGCTTTGACAATTAATTAAAAGATGATATTTTTACAAGAGAAGTGTGTGTATTTTAAAAACTCACCCTCTTACGCTTTAGGTTTACTCACTAAGTTGGTTTTAAACAACTAGCGTAACCTTCTGGGAACCATCATTATGGCATCTAACTGACAATAAAAGTCCAGTTTCCACCCTTGCCGAAATAGGCTGGTATTATGGAGTTACATTTTGGCTGGACTAACGAGTCTATGCATAGTCCAATCAAAATCGCGCACCGAAATCGAAATCCGGTTCGTAAACTGTCGTGCAGATTTCGAGTGAGTGAGTGAGTATGGTTTTACGCCGCTTTAGCAATATTCCAGCAATATCACGGCGGGGGACACCAGAAATGGGCTTCACATATTGTACCCATGTCGGGAATCGAACCCGGGTCTTCGGCGTGACGAGCGGACGCTTTAAACACTAGGCTACCCGACCGCCCCGCAGATTTCGATGGAATGCAGGATTTGCAAAGCATGTGCACTGCCAACTAGTTGTCAGCAGATATTTTCCAAATGTTTTTATGTTTTTAATCAAAGTGATTTGATGCATTTCGCGATATAAGACCCGTTTTATCACAATATAGATCTTGATCATCGGTCAGATCGTCCTGACTGTGCGCCACCTTTTTTTGTGAAGCAAACGCAAGTTATACGAGAGGTGGAATCTGATAGGTCCTGAGAAGGGACATAACTGGTAAAAGCCACTGGTGGCGCTACGACCGAGCCCAGTTATTCCAGCCTAGTTCGGCAAGGGTGGAAACTGGACTTTTAAAGTCAGTTAACTCCCTTTATTCGTGAAGATGTCATTAGGGTAATGGCAGATCAACTTGGTAAACGTATTTGATCTCTCCACCATGGTGACCCCGACTCCCTCATTGTATTGTGTCCTCTCCCCACAGGATGACGGCTACCCACGACCCCGTTTGGCGTTCACGACGTTGAAGGTGTTTGTAGTGGACGCTGATGACCAAGGTCCAGCCTTTTTGTACGAAAACTGCCCCCTGGTGGACGGGTACTGTGCCACGCCCTCGTATGAAGCCATCATGGAGTCGTCCTTCCAGGTAGGGAACCTTCTTCATCTGACCTTGGTAATGCAGTCTTTGTCACAGCTTGATGCTATTCTTCAAGTGACCTACACCTTGTGACCATGTTCCAACGTGGGTATCACAGAATATCCACCTACATTATCAGCAGAAAGGCTGACATAAGAAACCAAAGTATTACTAACTTGGGACAAAACATCCATCGTCAAGCGAAAATGTACAGTAAACTACGGTTATAACGAACTCAAAGGGACCACTAATTTTAGTTCGTAATAACCGTAGTTCGTTATAAGCATATCTACAGCATATATACAAAAAAGGTCGGAACTAAAAAATAAGTTTGATATGTCGGTCAGTTCGTTTTAAGCGTGTTCGTTATAAACGTAGTTAGTGTTTGAAACCTGGGGCAAACATTTTCGATGCTTTTTTCTCATAAAAATAGGGATTCCCTGTGTGGTGAAAATCTGACTGATCAACGATTTTATTTTCAAATGTAAAACAGTTTTGGCGAAGTGCGGACCAAAAGAAATATGGTAGGAGTTGGTTTTAAAACACATGTGATATTTAGTATTGACGGAAACTAAGTTCAGTTGTCTTTCCCTCAGGGTGAGTTGAGCATCTGGCCGGGGCAGATCCAGGCACGTGACCGGGACTCCCTCAACTACACCATCGCCTACTCCATCATCAAGGGTGAGCCGCGACCCGTGGGTTTTGTTTGTTTGTTTGTTTGTTGTTTAACGCCGCACTCAGTAATATTCAAGCTATATGAGGGAGGTTTGTAAGTCTGGACCAGACAGTCCAGTGTTTGACAACATGACCATCTATCCACGCAATTGGGATCAATGACATGCATCAACCAAGTCAGCGAGCCTGACCACCCGATTCCGTTAATCGCCGCTTACGACAAGTATAGTCGCCGTTTACGGCAAGCATGGGTTGCTGAAGACCTATTCTACCCCGGATCTTCACGGGCCCGACACGTGGGTCCAACATCTAGCATGAGTCGACGCACAATCACATACACGTATCACGTGACTAGCTACAGGGCGTCATATGTATAACAGTTTGTTGTTACCAATTAACAACTCCGGCGATTAATAATTTTGAAAAATCCAGTGAAGATCCGGGTTAAAATTGGTGTTCAGCTACCCATGCCTGTCGTAAGAGGCGACTAACGGGATCGGGTTGTCAGTCTCATGACTTGGTTGATGGATGTCATCGTATCCCAGCTGCGTAGATCGATGTTTATGACGTCAATCACTGTTTGGTCCAGCATCGACTATTTACATACCGCCGTCATATAGCTGGAATATTGCTCAAAGCGACATAAAACAACAAACAAACAAACAATGTCTGTCACTGATAGTGTTATTCATTGTTTACACATGCTTAATGCTCCCTACAAGTATTGTAGTAACGTGTGCAGTAACACAACATGGAAACAATCTTGTTATGGATATGATCCTTAGGTAAATGCTTTAACAATGCGTAATGTGTCTGAAGCTATAGGGACCACGGGTGGCCCAGTTGTCTAAGGCGCCGCGATTCGCTTTGCAGAGTTGCGTCCCTTGGGCACGCCAGAAACCTATGAGAGTGGGTTCGAATCCCGGTTCGCCCCGATTATGCTTCTAGATTTGTCAGCACCATACCCGTGCTTGTGGGTTTCACGGAAGTGGTAAACGTCTAAGACATGCATCACTTCGGGCTTTCCTCCCACATTAAGTTGACACGCCGTGATATAACTGGAATACTGTTAAAAGCGGCGTTAAACCCAACTCACTCACTGAAGCTACAATTCTACAATATTTTGTTTCTTCTCGGCTTCAGTGAAACCCCCAAGCTATGAGAAGCACTTCATCATTGACGAGTCTGAGGGCAAGCTGCAAGTGACTAAACCTGTCCACCGACCCAACATAGATACACTCCATATTGTCATCAAGGTAGAGACCAGTTACATCTCCAGATGAATGTCTAACCAAGCAGAAACTGTTAAATGTGACATTTTTTTAAAAGGAAACACTAATCAGGAAAAACCCAAATCTTGTGAACGCCTATTTCCCTATATCAGTCTAATAATGTAAATATCATACTCCAATAATTAAATTTTCGTTGTGTTCATTGAAATTCCTGCATTCTGATTAGCTGAATTGGTCACGTGTTATTGCATTCATTTCCCAATGAATGTAAAAGATTAAGCCACGCCTTCCGAGGCGCACTTCTTTTATTACTGCGGAATGTCGGGGAATCCCAATATTACAGTCGAGGGAATTCCCTTTCTGCTCACGTGTATCGTCATGCACAGGACATTTTGCGACTTTCATGCATATTCATTGTCCAAACTACCCTTTGAAACCGAAGGCCGAGAATGAATGAAACAGCAAACGTGCAGGCTCGCTCGCCTGTTTTTTCCCCGCACGCCTCGGTTCAACTTTCATGTCTTCGGGTTTCATTTCTAACTAGCATTTTTCCAACTGTGTTTTACCGTAATCAGGGAAGTAATGTTTGAATACACGGATTCATACAGTTTGCACATCGGTTTCTCGATTCATTCCTCAATGAACCGAAAAAAAACCACAGTCAATCCTTAAAAAAATGTATGTAAGGACAAAAAAACAACATGTCAATGGAATCGCCAGTCTTTACGTCGGAAGCTTTTTTTGGAACCACATAGAATGTAAAGTAATATTAATATCTTCATATGCTTCAGTAGTACCTACTCGTAAGTGTGATGTATACAGTTTCTAGTTTCTAGTTTCAAACCTGCTTAAATGCGTGTGTGTGTGTTGCTTCAGGCTGAAGAGTCATCTGAGAATCGGCGCTTCTTGACAGCCACCCTCCGGATTCAACTCCGCGCAAGAGGCAACTTTTTCAACAACTACCACCCCGACCTCCGCGACATCCCCATCAATCAGAAATTTTCATCCGACGACGTGGACATCACCGCGGGTGCCAAGATCCCTTTCTCCATCTTCATGTCGACCGTCGGTGTGTTCCTCGTCATCATGTGTGGCATGCTGATCATCTTCGTCAAACTCGCCCGAGGCAAGCCGACCCAAGACTCACCCCGATCCTGTGTCCCTCAAGCCAGGAAGGTCTCCGGCGACTCCGCGTCCAACATGTCCTACAACTCCACCGACACAGCGACATGCGTCATGTTCTCCTCCCCCGAGGACGACCGGGACTCCACGACCAGCAGAAACTCCTCCATAGAACTCGACTTTGACGACGCCATCTCCTTCGCGATGCCCAAGTCGGATGCACATGTGTCCTCGGTTTCATTCACGTCCCAGGAGTGCGGAACCTACAGCCCAAACAGCCCCAAGAGCAACCTCAAGGACACCACGGCCGTCAGCCGCTTTCGCAAAAGGGTCAACGAGCTTTTTTCTTTTCAAAAATGCCGAAAAACCAAACAGAAGTCTAGGGTCCGATTCGACATTCGGAACGTGTCGAACTTTTGATGCAGTGTCCCCGGCCAGATTCTACTTTCGACCCGTCGATCTTTCCTACTTTAAAAGTGATTGTGAAACTAGACAGCATAGTAAGTCTCCAAGCTGCATGTACATAGAGTGTTGAAAAGTGCAGGCGAAGGTGCTAGATGTGTTCTTCAAGAAGGAACACAGGTTTGACTTCAGAGACACGAGGACTCCCTGAACTGAATAATCCGCTGTGTGTACCAAACCGCCACCTCGTGATAACGTGATCGCTCCGTCCTTGAGTATTATCATACTCATCATAATGAACGTGGCGATCTGATGACGTCATGTGATGTTGTGATGCTGTGACTACCTCATACTAAACGAACCGCATCAATACATCGTACAAAATATACATGAATGATTCACGAAATTCGTAATTTAATTATGAAACTATTATAAAGTAGATTGTACAGTAATTTATGAAGTTAACAAATTGTATATATTTCGGTGCATTTTTTTTCCATTTAGTTTCAAAATTATTAAGAGTGAGCCGTCAGTATTAGGTTATTCTGACTTACATGACGTAATGAGTCGTCTTGTCTGATTCTGTGTAGTTCAACACATGGTTCAATGGTTCATGCCTTGACTGAAATTGCTATACACAAGTTAATGGTATGTACATATGTATATTCTTTGTTTTTACTTATTTTTATAATGTAAGTGTTGTTACCTCGTGTATATTACAATTAAAGTGCCGATTTCATCCCTGTATGTGTTTCATATATAGAGCTTGCCCATTCTTTGTATTTCATCCGACAAATCTCACCTGTCCATGTTGACTGCTACACACCTATGCTGTGTATAACCCAGTACGTCTGTTTATACTACAGTTCATCATTATATGCCACATATCATATCTATATGCCACAGTTCATATCTGTATGCCACAGTTCATCTCTGTATGCCACATATCATCTCTATATGCCACAGTTCATATCTGTATGCCACAGTTCATCTCTGTATGCCACAGTTCATCTCTGTATGCCACAGTTCATCTCTGTATATCTCAGTTCATCTCCATATACGACAGTTCATCTCTTTATACCACGGTGCATCTCTATATACCACAGTTCATCTCTATATACCACAGTGCATCTCTATATACCACAGTTCATCTCTATATACCACAGTTTATCTCTGTATATCACAGTTTATCTCTATATACCACAATTCATCTCTGTATACCACAGTTCATCTCTGTATATCACAGTTCATCTCTGTATACCACAGTTCATCTCTATATACCACAGTTCATCTCTGTATACCACAGTTAATCTCCATATACCACAGTTCATCTCTATATACCACAGTTCATCTCTATATACCACAGTTAATCTCCATATACCACAGTTCATCTCTATATACCACAGTTCATCTCTATATACCACAGTTCATCTCTGTATACCACAGTTAATCTCCATATACCACAGTTCATCTCTGTATATCTGTATATCACTGTATACCCCCATTCATTTCTATATACCCCGCTCATTTCTATGTATAACACAGTTCATTTCTATATACCCCGTTCATTTCTATATCATACACAGTTCATTTTTATATACCCCGTTCAATTCTATATATACACAGTTCATTTCTATATACCCCGTTCATTTCTAATTATACACAGTTCATTTCTATATACCACAGTCCATTTCTATACACTCCGTTCATTTCTATATATACCAAGTTCATTTCTATGGGTAACAGTTTATTTATATATACCCTGTTCATTTCTATATACCACAGTTCATTTCTATTTACCCCGGTTCATATTTATACACCGCAGTTCACATCTGTACACTCCAGTTAATGTCTATATACCCCGTTCATTTCTTTATATACCAAGTTCATTTCTATATATATCCCAGTTAGTTTCTATATGCTAAAGTTCATCTCTGAATTGGGCGGTCGGGTAGCCTTGTGGTTAAAGCGTTCGCTCGTCACGCCGAAGACCCGGGTTCGATTACCGACATGGGTACAATGTGTGAAGCCCATTTCTGGTGTCCCCCCGCCGTGATCTTGCTGGAATATTGTTAATAGCGGCGTAAAACCATACTCACTCATTCTTCTCTGAATACCACAGCTAATCCCTGTATACCACTTTTCATTTGTGTATACCCCAGTTATTTTACTATATACCACATTTAATTTCTTTCAGACCCCACTTCATTTCTATCTAAAACCACATTCCAATGTCATGAACCCCGTTTCATTTATATTTTACAGCTCATCTCTCTATGTCACACTCCATTTCTATATCTCACAGCTCAGCCAGGTATCTCATTTCTCCTCCTGGGGGCACGGGTGACCCAGTCGTCTAAGGCGCCGCAATTCGCAGTGTAGAGGTGCGTCCCTTGGGCACGCGAGAAACCTATAATTGTGGGTTCGAATCCCGTTTCGCCCCGATTTTGTTTCTATGTTTGTCAGCACCATATCGTGGGTTTCACCAAAGTGGTAAACTAGCATCACTTCGGGATTTTCCCCCACATTAAGCTGACACGCCGCGATATGACTGGAATACTGTTAAAAGCGGCGTTAAACCCAACTCACTCACTCACTCACTCCTGTCTCCTCTGTATGCCACACCTAATCTCTGAATACAATATATCTTTTCACAGCTGTATGTAACCTCCATACAGTATTCTGTGCTTTGCCTTTCAGATACATTTCCCCAAAAGCTATGAGCATAGTTATTATACAAACTCTCAAAATCAAGCAGTTAGACAATCCATTAGATAATCTTCCATTTCAAGCAATGGTGAAACTGATACTCTGGCAAAGGCCCAGTATTGTTTGTTTGTTGGTTGTTGAACGCTGCACTCAGCAATATTCCAGCTATATGACGGCGGTCTGTAAATAATCGGAGTCTGGACCAGACAATCCACAATGGGATACGATGACATGCATCAACCAAGTCAGCCTTTTCGCCTCTTACGACAAGTATAGTCGCCTTTTATGACAAGCATGGGTTGCTGAAGACCTATTCTACCCGGATCTTCACGGGTACCCTGTATTGAATGTGACACGATGATGATGATGTTGACCACTGGAGCTGAGGGAGACATCTTCTTTATGATGAAGTTAGTTTTGTACGTACCACTATGTATACATCGCATTCTAATTTATGTATTGTGTATTTAACATTGAAATAAATACAACCAAAGAACTTGTATCGTGTGATTGTTGTTACACATACCATGTTGAACCCACATAGCCTACTTAATTCCTCTTCCCGAATCTCGTGGACTGGTACAAATTTCATTATCATACCTCCATGTCAGAATGATGAGATCTGATTGGTCCACGTGATCTTGATAATAACTGTGTAGTCCACCTCGGAGGGTAATACATTTCTCAGCGGGGGAATAATTCTCTTATACCCCGCCACGAGCAATACAGACTGCACGTGGATTTCGGAAAGACTGAGTAAATTCTTTATACCCGGCCTCAAAGCAATACCTGCACGTTTTTTTTCCGAATCAATGGAAATCACGTGACACAGCACAAGTTAACCTCAGCTCTATCGAACATCTGTTTGCAAGCAATTTTGAATTTGTGTTAATTCTTTTACAATGTCACATTGAATCATGTCGGTGAGATAAATTCGTTGTAGCAGGATCACTCGGGATACATGGGGTTTTACGTATAAAACCTAACGAGGGATGCATAAAACACCATGTACCCTTTGTGATCCTGCTACAACTTATACTGTAATGAACACTTGTCGAAAATATCCATTTGTCCAGATACAACAGACCAGCACCATGACCGTTAATTGTTTGATAACGTCATCGGCATCATCTGATGCAAGTTGTATACAAATTTACAAATAATATGAACTAATGGTTTAATTATGAACAGCTGGATAATGACAGCCATTCACGTACGACCGGTGGTACATGCGATGCAGGCACCTTGTTCTCCAAGAACACCTGGCGTCGTGACAGTCCTTGCACTGGAAGGAATATTGACTTTTCTCCACTGGTACCTGAAGTCATGAGGGTCCTGAGCACACGTTGTATCCTGACGGTTCTTTCAGTAATACGGAAGTGACGACATTGGATTAGTTCGGAGCACACGTGGTATCCTGACGGTCCTTTCAGTAATACGGAAGTGACGACATTGGATTAGTTCGGAGCACACGTGGTATCCTGACGGTCCTTTCAGTAATACGGAAGTGACGACATTGGATTAGTTCGGAGCACACGTGGTATCCTGACGGTTCTTTCAGTAATACGGAAGTGACGACATTGGATTAGTTCGGAGCACACGTGGTATCCTGACGGTCCTTTCAGTAATACGGAAGTGACGACATTGGATTAGTTCGGAGCACACGTGGTATCCTGGCGGTCCTTTCAGTAATACGGAAGTGACGACATTGGATTAGTTCCGGTTTGCCTGCATTATGTTTGACAGAATTACAACTCATAACACGATAGTGAGTGAGTGAGTTTGGTTTAACGCCGCTTTTAACAGTATTCCAGTTATATCGCGGCGTGTCAGTTTGGTGTGGGAGGAAAGTCCGAGGTGATGCAGGTCTCAGACGTTTACTACTTTGGTGAAACCCACGAGCACGGGTGCTCGACAAACTAGAAACATAATCGGGGCGAACCGGGATTCGGACCCACGATCAAAGGTTTCTGGGGTGTCCTCCCAAATCGCCTGCATGCCAAAACGCCAAAACACAGCTTATAACAACAAAGTTCACAGTTGGTACCGGGCTGTAGGTGTTTTGGCATGTAAGCGTTTTGGAGATAACCGTTTCTGGGATGCCCAAATGACCAACTTTTGTGCAGCGGTGGGGGTGGGGGTGGGGGTGTGGGTGCGGGTGCGGCCACGGGTGCACCCCCACCCGCACCCGCACCCCCATAACACCATAAACTGTAACGGGAAATCACTAAACGATAAACAACTAGTATGGTATGGTCGTTGACATTTATTTCTATATATTTATTTCTATAATTTACAATAAGATAAAATATAATATTCACAGCATAATTATGTTTCTATTATAAATACATCTAGCCATTCAAATGCAAAATGCATACATGTCGATATACACTACAGACACAGCAGGCCTTCGATTAAGACTATTTAATCTTTCATAATGACTGGTTTAAATCTCATCAACGTTGTGAATCATGTAGCATTTTGAAACACGTCTTGGTGAATTAACTGGTATTTTCTCAGAATATTAATATTAATGCCTCTTGAACATAAACCAACAAAATATATTTTAGACGACTCAAGTCAGAACACGGACATTTTAGGAAAAAGGCGTATGTTAAATATGTGCTTAAGAAAACAAGAAAAACAGTTAAGTTCCATGAAATGGTAACATGTAAAATTATCTTGAAGGTACAAGTTTCACATGTGGCTGATAAAAGTTGTGAAACTAAAGATTCAGCAAAACACGACAATTCTTGTGAAACTCTTTCACTGATATATGTAACATCACTTGATGAAAGTATTTACTAACTAGGCTATATTATCATTGGACGCCCAAACAAAATAAACAAAAACAAAATGCATGTAAATTCCTGACACCAACGGAGTTCATACAAACTTCTACGGTATAATGCGTTAATAGGGGTGTATAAATATAATGCTATTTTTGCTTTGTATCACAGATCGCACATGGGTGTATAAGTTACCAAACGGTATATATTTACAGGAGCATATAGGTGTGTGAAATGCTGAAGTCACTGTATGTTTTCTGAAGAAAGGGTTTTCAACATTTCCAAAAAATATCACAAAAAAACTTGACGACTAGATCTGAGATTCAGACGAAGGCATATTCATCTTTGGACGGGTTGGTAAACTGATGGAAGAGCTTTACTCGAAAATATAACAATTGTCACTGTTACACTCTTTCCTGGAGTGGTTTAATACAGGTTATCTCATCTCGGGACTTTATCAGTAGTCATTGTCAACAGTTATCCAGTATTTAGGGTCGGTCTTCTCTTTACTGCGAGAAGATTGCTTAATACGCGTTTTCTTCCTAGAGAAGAACTCCGCATCTGCGCTGCCTTCAAACTCCTGTGTTCCATCAAACTCCTCACTCATCCTCTCCTTCTTTCTTCTCCTTCTGCGGTTCTTCTTCTCATTTCCGGTTCCGGTGCCCATGTCCTTCAAGGAGGGTAACTCCTGCCCTCTTCCTTTGTCGGGCAGTGCTTCCAGCTGAGCTGTCGTCATCTTCGGCCACTGGTCCTTCCCGTCCATGGATAAGTCATCCACGTCCGTCATGTTCTCGCTGACGGACGGCGAGACCGATGGGCTGACTGGACGCTTGTGTTTCTTTAAGTAGATGACCACGCCAAGGAACGACACTGCCATTACGAAGACGATGACCGCCAGCACTATAAGGACGATCATAAGAGTGTTGTCGCCTTCCTCCTTTAAAGCTCCAGTCTTTGCAGTAGTTCCTACTGTGGTGGTAGCTCTGCCTTGAATGTTCACCTGGAACGTGGTTGTAGTCGCCCTCTGCTGAACGGAAACCTCCTTCGCCTGAATGAGACACACACAACTAGAATATAGAGGATATTTCATGTGTCTCGTGAAATACTAGTATCGCCTTTTCCACCGTCACGAGATCCCATTTATCATATACTTTTGTGTAGTTTCTGTTTGTCAAATTATTTCATTACAAATGTAAAACCTTAAAACGTAAATTCTCCCTACCTAACACACAGGGACGGTTCACCACCCCTTGTATTTCCGACTTAAAAAGTAGTTTCGTGTTTGCAAAATCTTAAAAAAACATATAATTTTTTATCATACATTTCGAAATGATTTTATACAAATTCATCTTTAGCCAAACATATTCTTGGAAACTAAGAGAGCGCTGTTGGAAGCGAAAATACACGCTGGTCAAGTAACTAAAATGGCACTTTGCGAAGCGAACAGTCTCGATTGACGAGTTAAATGTGAAATTTACATTTTCGAGGGAATAACGAACGGCAAGTAGTGATATTTACTCAAAAAAGTCAATGTGTCATTATTTTGTCCTGTCAATGTGGAACTAACGTAAAAAGGATGTCAACAGTTTGTGTACGGGCTAGACACTTACGATAAAGGGAGACAATTTAAGGGGAGGTAACTCTTGTATGGCAAGAGTTCCGTCAAAGTGTTATGTTCACTGCAGTGACATATCAAGTGTTATGTTCACTGCAATGAAAATATCACTTTTCTCACACTGATTTTTAGAATAAAAAAACGAACTGCAACGTCACACAACATTATCTCACACAGTAACATGTAATTATGTATAACTTCATTGTCTCAATGTAATCAACATATATAGAACTAGATAATGATATCTGAGAAAGGCGACGTACATGTATAATACTTTTACACAGTAACATGTAATTATGTATTAGTTCATTGTCTCCATGTTATCAAAATAAATAGAACTAGATAATGATATCTGAGAAAGGCGACGCACATGTATAATACTTTTTTGAATAACCCGATTCAATTTATCAAACGGGGCAGTCCGGCCTTGAACCTCACCTGTAGAAACAGGACTATCTGAGCAAGGTTTCCATTTACAGTCTGCAAGGGTTGGGTGACGTTCACATCGCCAGTTACGCTGTTCTGGCTGAAGTAGGCATCGTACCCAGACGGATTAGCTGAAATATTGCAATAACGTTACAGTGTTTGAGGACGACAGTTGGAGGTTTATTAAGTAAATGGTAGAAGCTGGACTTACTTCCCTTGAGATGGTAGGACACGCTGTAGTTGAGTGTGTCCCTGTCTCGCGCTATGATCTTGTTTGGGAGGATGTTCTCTATCTGACCCTGAAATAGAAGCAACAGGATTCATCACCGGGATCATTTGTGTTGCAATTCGTCATCCAATGTCACGTGCCCGACCTTCCCCCTCTGGCACCGACCTTCCCCCTCTGGCACCGACCTTCCCCCTCTGGCACCGACCTCCCCCTCTGGCACCGACCTTCACCCTCTGGAACCGACCTTCACCCTCTGGCACCGACCTTCACCCTCTGGCACCGACCTTCACCCTCTGGAACCGACCATCCCCCTCTGGCACCGACCTTCACCCTCTGGCACCGACCTTCCCCCTCTGACACCGACCTTCCCCCTCTGACACCGTCCTCCCCCCTCTGGCACCGACCTTCACCCTCTGGCACCGACCTCCCCCTCTGGCACCGACCTTCACCCTCTGGAACCGACCATCCCCCTCTGGAACAGACCATCCCCCTCTGGCACCGACCTTCCCCCTCTGGAACAGACCTTCCCCCTCTGGCACCGACCTTCCCCCTCTGGAACAGACCTTCCCCCTCTGGCACCGACCTTCCCCCTCTGGAACAGACCATCCCCCTCTGGCACCGACCTTCCGACACCAAAGGCTGGATCTGCTTCTCATACAGTCTTGTGGAGAGTTTTTGTCACTTGATTTGCTAATTGATGGTCATTGAACAATATCAGATCATCTATTTACCCGAAGCTTAACTTAAACTTCTTGGCCAATTTACCTTGCCAATCCGAGCAGAAATTCCAATTCGTATGCAAAACGAATATTTTATTTGAAGATTTGAGTCCAGTTGATTTGCTTAAAATATTTCGATCTGTTGTTTCCACTATTTAAACTAAAACATGATATTTGTAACAGAGAATGATGTTTAAAGGAACAGGCATAAATAAAATGGCACTTTACTGTACATATTGTTTCCTCTACCGTAGGTCCTAATACCCTTCTGCAATCAAACGGGTTGCGACCAAACACACCTATATCCTATCCTCAGCTACCCATACCAACCACAAGCCTGTGCGTAACGAAAACGGGGTGTGACCAATCACCCCTATATACCACCCCCCGATGCCCTGGCAAACCCGCATCAGTGCAACGAAAACGGGATGTGACCAATCACCCCTATATCACACCCCAAGTTACCGATAGCCTGGCAAACCCGCATCTGTGCAACGAAAACGGGATGTGACCAATCACCCCTATATCCCACCCCAAGTTACCGATAGCCTGGCAAACCCGCATCTGTGCAACGAAAACGGGATGTGACCAATCACCCCTATATCTCACCCCAAGTTACCGATAGCCTGGCAAACCCGCATCTGTGCATCGAAAACGGGGTGTGACCATTCACCCCTATATCACACCCCAAGTTACCGATAGCCTGGCAAACCCGCATCTGTGCATCGAAAACGGGGTGTGACCAATCACCCCTATATCACACCCCAAGTTACCGATAGCCTGGCAAACCCGCATCTGTGCAACGAAAACGGGATGTGACCAATCACCCCTATATCACACCCCAAGTTACCGATAGCCTGGCAAACCCGCATCTGTGCAACGAAAACGGGATGTGACCAATCACCCCTATATCACACCCCAAGTTACCGATAGCCTGGCAAACCCGCATCTGTGCAACGAAAACGGGATGTGACCAATCACCCCTATATCCCACCCCAAGTTACCGATAGCCTGGCAAACCCGCATCTGTGCAACGAAAACGGGATGTGACCAATCACCCCTATATCTCACCCCAAGTTACCGATAGCCTGGCAAACCCGCATCTGTGCATCGAAAACGGGGTGTGACCAATCACCCCTATATCACACCCCAAGTTACCGATAGCCTGGCAAACCCGCATCTGTGCATCGAAAACGGGGTGTAACTAACTGGCTCCAACTAGCCGTACTCACCACAAACGTGTCGGGGACGGAGGCGGAGTATGACGTATAACACTGCCCCGGCTTGCATATCTCGTTGTAGAACTCGGGATCCTGGTCGTCGGCATCAAGGATGTTGACTGTCATGGCGGTGAAAGATTCCCGCTTACCAATGTCCTGGATGCAACAACATCACATCATACGTTAATGAGGACGCATCATACAATTCATCTGTATAACATGGAGCAAGCGAGTTGTGTTTTGAAGCCGCTTTGACAAGCATTGCTGTTATATCAAGACAGGACAGATTGATTTAGGAGGAAAGCCCGACGTGATTCAAGTGTCAGACGTTTACCACTTTGGTGTAACCCACGAGCACAGGTATAGTACTGACAAACCTAGAAACACAACACAACACACCATATTTAGCATGGCAATACACAAAATACAAAACAGAACATACAGAACAGAATATACAGAACAGAACATACAGAACAGAACAGAACAAGACATACCGCACAGAATAGAACGAAGCAGAACAGAACATACAGAACAGAACAGAACATCCAGAACAGAACAGGATAAACAGAACATACAGAAAAGAACAGAGCAGAGCAGAACAGAACATACAGAACAGGATAAACAGAACATACAGAAAAGAACAGAGCAGAGCAGAACAGAACAGAACATACAGAAAAGAACAGAACAGAGCAGAGCAGAGCATAACAGACCAGAACAGAACATACAGAACAGAACAGAACAGGATAAACAGAACATACAGAAAAGAACAGAGCAGAACAGAACAGAACATACAGAACAGAACATCCAGAACAGAACAGGATAAACAGAACATACAGAAAAGAACAGAGCAGAGCAGAGCAGAGCAGAACAGACCAGAACAGAACATACAGAACAGAACAGAACAGGATAAACAGAATAAACAGAAAAGAACAGAGCAGAGCAGAACAGAACAGAACAGAACATACAGAACAGAACAGAACAGAACGTACAGAACAGAACAGAATAAACAGACAAGACCAGAACAGAACATACTGAACAAAACAGAACATACAGAAAAGAACAGAGCAGAGCAGAACAGAACAGAACATACAGAACAGAACAGAACAGAACGTACAGAACAGAACAGAATAAACAGACAAGACCAGAACAGAACATACTGAACAAAACAGAACATACATAACAGAACAGAGCAGAGCAGAACAGAACAGAACATACAGAACAGAACAGAACGTACAGAACAGAACAGAATAAACAGACAAGACCAGAACAGAACATACTGAACAAAACAGAACATACATAACAGAACAGAACAGAGCAGAGCAGAACAGAACAGAATAAACAGAACAGAACACAACAAACAGAACATACAGAACAGAAAATACAGAACAGAACATTGTCACAATCATGAGTTAGCAACCTACTCTGCAGCAAGTTTCAAGTAAGACGAGTAACAGACCACAAAGCTCACCTGCACTGACACGTTCAACACGTAGTGTTTGATGGTCATGGCTTCGAAGTCCAGATTCTGCGCGACGCCGATGTCTCCAGTCTGTGTCTGTGTGATTGTGAAATGCAACCTCCCATCTAACTGAAACCAGGAATACAATCACTTAGTCAAATTCACGCTATTTAAGTGCTAATGGTGGTATCTCAGAAAAAAAGGTTGAGGTTAAAATTGAATAAAACCTGAGTAAAAGTACAGATTGAATAGGGTTTCCTTTTTTTTGTGGCGCAGGTGTGTTAAAAAAGTTTTGGAAGAAATATGGGTTAACATAGGACTTAAGGGGTGATATAGAACATACATCGGGGTTGAAGTAAGGAATGATATAGGACTTACATCTGGGTTGAAGTAAGGTTCATATAGGACTTACATCTGGGTTGAAGTAAGGGGCGATAGTGGACTTACATCTGCGTTGTAGTAATGAGTGATACATGACTTACATCTGGGTTGAAGTAATGAGTGATAGATGACTTACATCTGGGTTGAAGTAAGGGGTGATAGAGGACTTACATCTGGGTTGTAGTACGGGTTGATATTGAAGCCATATATCTCCTCCTGGTTAGGGTTGACGTCCCTGTCTTGGGCGTGGTCCTTCAGCTTAAACACCGGCTGGTTGAGAGCGGTGTTCTGCGAAGACAAATACAAGTAAGGTCCGGCATATGGAACTGGTTGACATATGTAGTGGATATAACACGACTGATGTTATTAACAAGGAGCTACTGTAGGGACAACTAGTTCACAATATGAAGCGCAGGCTCATTAACCGTATATCGTTTACCTATATACGTAATGTAATACCTCTGTCACGTTGATGGTGAATGGGGCGTTGATGAACTCCGGGTCGAACTCGTTGACTGGTGTGACCGTGACAAACCTCTCCAACGAACCCTTGAAACATCATTACATCACTCTATGAGTTTCTCAAATATCATTGGAGGACACTGAAGTTGAAAGACAATTTACAGTGTAGCCTTATTTAGGTGATGACAAGACTTACCCCCACTGGCGTACCGTTTTCCGTACATGTGAAGGAAAACGTGACAAACACGAGTTGTTCGCCCTGAAAAAAAGACAGAGTTTCTACGTCTTATAACATGTACCGACACAATGTATTAGTTTGTTCTTTTGAAGATAATCAAAAATTTCTCATTAATATAATGTAACTATTAGAAATATTATCAGGAGTAAACCAAGCTTAATTTCCCTTGATCGATTTAGACTAAAATATCAACTGTTGATGATAAAAAAAATCACACAACAAATACGGATTGAAATATTCCTGTACAAAATGATTTGGCAACCCCGATAGGACCTTAATTTCATGATGAACGGACAGAGGCATACAGTCATGGGCAAGATGACTGTGCACGAAGTGTTTGAAAACCCGTGTTTGGATGTATCGTGACGGAATCGTTACACATCATTATCAGAGAGCACAACAACATTTGCTGCGAAGGATTGCAACAAGGCGCAGTTTGACAACCGAATAATTAGGCAGATGCAAAGTCATGCTTGAAAATGGGTCAACAGAACGCCATGTTGCATTACCACACGAATAAAGCTGATGTTTAACAGATGATGCCTAGTTAGTCTGTCCCTGTTGATCATTGGGTAAAAACATGTAATAATATTTCCTTACATTATAAGGTGTTGAAGATCTTCTTTAGTTGACTACAAAATGTAGATTTTACTTTTGCGCATGTCTTTTGTGAAACGGGGATCAGCTGACGATCGAAACTACAGTGCCAGGTCACGTGTGAACGCGACACAAGTGTGTTTATTTTACAGTGAGTGAGTATGGTTTTACGCCGCTTTTAGCAATCTAATGACTTGAAATGTCAAGATACTAAAAGGCTTCCGTACAGACGCGCTACTGAGAGCTGTTTTTTGGGGGCACACTGAATTTGTTTTCGTGATTTTTGGACGTTTCTGTTTTAGTCAGATTCTCTCATTTTGAAGAGTGATCTGACTGATTATTGGTCACACTAAGGACGCTGGCGTCTCTGTGAGTGATTATTTTGCATCCAGCTCTGTTACTGGGACGGTGGAGCAAAACACACGCATTGCAATCTAAGGCCATACAGCTTGAGAGAACGAATCTACACGTCATGAGTATATACCCATTTCTCGTATATCGCCTCCAAGTCCAGCGTCTTGTTGATGGTGAAGGTGGTGGAGGTGGTGTTACTGGTGAGGCTGAAGTATGACGTCAACTCGGTCCGGATGCTGACAGGTTCACGGACTGTGAACGCCCACTTGGTTGTAGATGGGGTGTTGATGCTAAATATTACATGACCTGGGGCGCAGAAAATCATACATCGCTCATACGAAATCTTCATTCTGACAAGTATTATTTTATATATATTTAATTAAAAGCGACAAAACCCTTTCCAAAAGCAAAACCATTTTCTTAAACAGTTACAATTATGAAACCAAATTTTGACTATACACCTCTTTCATAGCCTTTACTGCAGAAGCAGCGAACGCTGTAACATTAATTCCATATTGATTATTCCAACGTAACGACATAGGGACACTTCAAGAGTTTTCCTTGAATCCTTAAATCCACTAATTAGGCTCTCACTGGGTTAGCCTTCAGAAGTCTATTCTTATTACTGTACAGTAAGTATATTTTCAATTGGGATTGTGGGTGTGTCAGGTATGGGTTGGAGAAGAATCTACCTGTCCCGTCTGTCTCTTTCACCTGCACTTTCTGAGGAGGCTGGACGCTACAGGAAGATGTTACTTCTGGAATAACAAGATTGTGGCGATGATCACTTTTAAAGTTTACTCTCAGAATCAGACCGCCCGGAGAGCGGAAGGTCCAGGGTTCGATCCCGGGCCGCGTCATACAAAAAGACGTTAAAAGATTGTACTTGTTGTTACCCTGTCTGGCGCTCGGCATTAAGGGGCTAAAACAAGGACTGGTCGGCTCGGAGTCAGTATACTGTGTCTGAGTGGGGTATTCATGTTAAACTGCGGCATGGTATCTCAGTGAGCTAGCACTATAAATCGGCATCAGTCCGGACTAGTACAAGCAGCCACACACACACACACATACACGTGCATGCACGTCGCTATATAAGTGCGATAATCTTGGACGCGACGTTAAACCCAATTTCACCTCACCTCAGAATCAGACAACTGATATGTCACTATAGACTTGTACAGTGCAAGCAATATTAATAAACACAATACAAAAATAAGTCATCACTTGTGAATAGTTTTAGCGGAAGTGTATTTTCTTTGGTCCTGCTTCAAGAAACATGCCAGTTTCTTTCTGAAAGGAAGGGACCCGCACTTCTCATTTCTTCAGGACATCCAGCGACGAAATCCCCGCGACTCCAAACTCCAAAGGTATTCTATATGTGTTGATTTCCCACATACATATCATGACTTGTTGTGGTAATTGATCGTTAACCCGCATAGTTTAAATATTCAGCGTGGCGTGTTGAGACATGCAATACGAGTTGTCTCTCTCAACACTGAACAACCACGAAACACGCCTTAACCACGTATTATAATACTGACACAAAGTTGTAACTAGTTATGCATGCATCTATGTTATGCATATAAAACACTATCACCTACATCCATCCCGCACTGTAACATAGCTGTAGCCGTACAGTACGACACTTTTACTGGATGAAGGATAAAACATCCCTTTGTTTCTATGAAAAAGATTATGACATGGGTATAGTAATACACGAGAGCTCCGGAAAACCAGTCATTCAATATGTTCAATAACGTTTCTGAAGTCAGCACCCGAACTCAATCCTCCTGTAAGAACTTATTTCAAACTGATTTCCATGGAAACGCAAAATGAATTTTTCAAATTTCAAATTCTAAATTTCAATATGGTCAGCATGACTCTAAGACCGCGTGAACACGACTGGTGTATCAGTGTGGTATATCCCAACTACTTCACCGTGACACTAGGACCTCGTGAACACAGCTTGTGTATCAGTGTGGTATATCCCACCTATTTCAGCATGACACTAGGACCCTGTGAACACGCTTGGTGTATCAGTGTGGTATATCCCACCTATTTCAGCGTGACACTAGGACCCCGTGAACACGACTGGTGTATCGGTGTGGTATATCCCAACTACTTCACCGTGACACTAGGATCTCGTGAACACGACTGGTGTGTCAGTGTGGTATATCCCAACTACTTCACCGTGACACTAGGATCTCGTGAACACAGCTTGTGTGTCAGTGTGGTATATCCCAACTACTTCACCGTGACACTAGGACCTCGTGAACACAGCTTGTGTGTCAGTGTGGTATATCACACCTACTTCAGCGTGACACTAGGACCTCGTGAACACGACTGGTGTGGTATATCCCACCTACTTCAGCGTGACTCTAAGACCGCGTGAACACGACTGGTGTATCAGTGTGGTATATCACACCTACTTCAGCATGACACTAGGACCCTGTGAACACAACTGGTGTGTCAGTGTGGTATATCCCACCTACTTCAGCGTAACACTAGGACCTCGTGAACACAGCTTGTGTGTCAGTGTGGTATATCACACCTACTTCACCGTGACACTAGGACCTCGTGAACACAACTGGTGTGTCAGTGTGGTATATTCCACCTACTTCAGCGTGACACTAGGACCTCGTGAACACGACTGGCGTGTCAGGGTGGTATATCCCATCCTCTCGGGCGTGACACTAGGACCTTGTGAACAGAGTGTTCACCGTTATTTTTCACCGCGTATAGATAGATAGATAGATAGATAGATAGATAGATAGATAGATAGATAGATAGATAGATAGATAGATAGATAGATAGATAGACACGTGAGATAGATAGAGAGACTTTAACATACTATTTATATTGGTGATGACAGCAGAGCTAAATACTAAATACACATCCTACTCAAATATCAACCCAAATCCTGCAATAGTATTCAGCCCATGTTCTGGAAACAACAATGCTAGATATATTATCAACATTGAACCCTTCATTACATTTCAGTGATTAAAAAACTAAATTATAACATAAATTCTCAAAGTCAAAATTAAACTAGACCGATCAAATACTGATCCAGAAAGTTTCAATGTTTTATTTACCTCAATAATGATTATTATCTGTGAGAATCAATATCATAGTGGTTGAGTTAAAGAGTATATACCGACCCCATATCGGAAAATGGTCCCTGATGGGACGTACCTTACAAAGTGGTTGAGCATACCTTTCCCCGATACCTGCAATATGACCATGCAGCCGCTGACTTACCTGTAATCGTTGTTGCACAAAGAACAACACACATCCAAATATAAATCCGGAGTTTAGATGCCATTTTGTGAGGAAGGGTATCCAATATTCAAACTTTCAATCACATCATGTTGCAGGTTAATCCACCCAAGATGGCGGTCTCCATGTTAGTTAGTGCGCCGAAGTCACGTCAGATCCTGAGGTCAAAGAGAAACAACTGTCAATGTTCGTGCTTCAAGCCCTCACCATAAATCAGCCCTATATATGTCGAAACAGGTAGCCCCTATTTGTTTCTATGTAACGACACTCCAGTGTTAGAGCTGTAGATATCGTGGCCACGGAGGTTAACTGCGACACTTTTCTATGCGCTGATAACATACACCGCTGGAAATTAATTACGAACTTGCGATCAGCCTGATAAACCATAAAAGAAATTTATTTCCTACAATAAGAAATGAAACTATATATTACTGGTGTTTATTTATTTGTAAGCCTGTTCAAAAATACAACAAAGGATATAAGTATGATAATAATGGCACAATATCTTAAGTGGTATTAATGCATATGCACGACTGCTGTGGTATACTTTGTTTACTTTGTATTTATATGTTGAGCTAGAGGATGTATTTGGATGTTTTTTTGCATTCGACGTCAATGGGTCAAATATATTTTAAAACGCAAAGGGGCTGATATCGTTTTGCATGTCAAGATAAAAGGCGTTTCCCTGCTTAACGCACTGCCGCGACCTGGAGACATATCGCTGACTGGAATGCCATGACGTAACTGCCGTTGTCAGAGGATTTCGGCAACTTGTTATAATCTGATAACGTTGTGCATTTGAATTGACCAATCATATGACTCATGTTAGTATGGCTATAGTCATCTGACATAAACACTGCCTCAATCGTAAAACTTTTTGTGCATTAAAAAATGGTTGTGAGTTTAACTATTTTACCAATAAAAATATTTAGGGGACAAGGCAGAGCTTTGAAACGTCGTTACAAGCAATACAGAAGTTGCTATCCATAGACGTGTCATGTTTTCATGTTTTTGCAACTTCAAAATGTCTACGAAAGATGTTAAAAGGTTAAATACAGTTACATTCAGTATGAGTATGTATCGTGAAATGCAAAGCCCAATGGCAGTGTAGAGACAACCTTTGATCCGCCGTTGTTACAGTTGGAGACATGATACAGTTTACATACGATATAATAATATTCTAATAACTGGATTGTTTCTTAGTGAGTAAACGATGATTAATGCTACAACAGCTTGAGTCTGAACAAGGCAAGCCATTGACTGGAAGCATGAACTCTCAGCCAAATCAGTGTTTGTTTAATTGTTTGTTTGTTTGTTGTTTAACGCCGCCCTCAGCTCTATTCCAGCTACATGACGGCGATCTGTAAATAATCGAGGCTGGACCACACAATCAAGTGATTGACATCATGAGCATCGATTCACGCAATTTAGATACGATGACATACATCAATCAAGTCAGCGAGCCTGACCACCCGATCCCGTTGGTTGCCTCTTACGACAGGCATAGTTTCATCTCACGGCAAGCATGGGTTGCTGAAAACACATTCTAACCCAGATCTTCACGGGTCCCAAGTCTGCGAGTCTGACCACCCGATCCCCATTTCAGTCTGTTTCTTGCATGGGGGCAACTTTTACCCGGATTCCCAACAGGGGTATTTTAGCTAAATGCTGCTAGTCTGTATTGATATATAAATACATATGCTACAAGTTCTTTTCAATCCCTTAAAATACCACTGTAAATCCCCTGCCAACTTTCAAACCCTGATATAGCTCCATGCGGTTTGCAAAGGATGAGTAAAAGGATTAGAAATCTTCTTACAGACGAAATATTTCCCCCTACAGATTGGTCGGAATTTATAGTAACCATGACCTTCAAATACGTATTCAACAATATATTTGGCATTCTGATTATCCATACAATCTGAGTTGTAGTCTTCATCAAACACAAGGGAGTACCGTCCATACCTTCAACAAAGTCCCACAGAAGAGTATTCATGACATTGAGCTGACATAGAACACAAACAACTGAGGCGACATCAATCATTTC